TAGGTCTTGTTCACTTCATTGAAAGATACATTTGTAAAAATTCATTTTAATTCATGTCAGGTCTGAACTCTAGTCCACTTTACCAGATATTTCTGAGAATGCAGGTGTTATCAACTAGTCAGATGCACAAACATTCTAAATTCCCTTAGTATAGTATGATGCTTCAGAGACCTTAGTCTGTTAACTTCAATCTAGAAGTGACCTGATTTGTTTCTTCAATGGCATTATTAAGCTGTTCAGGTACTGAAAGTTTCTTCAGTCAACTAAATACTATTTTTCTTAGCTTTTATTTAGAGCTATGTCATTAGGGTGGAATACTTTTTCAGTGTCCATGCATTTTCTTAGGTAAAGGACGGAGAATACTGCTTTATACTTTGGAATCAGTTTTGGTTTTAAATGTCAGACTCTCATCTTCTGTGTATGACAGAACATAGTATTTTATTTTCTTTCCTAAAGAATGCAGAGAACAATATTTTTGTGGACAGTCTTTATGTGAGAGTTTTGTTATATGACTGTATGAAAGCCCCTAGCCACCTTGATGGTTTCTTCCTGAGTGCTTTTCGAGTTACAGGAAGGACACAAAGTCTAAATAGTAGTTTCTAGGAACATAAATCCACCATAAACGAAAGACAGACTTATGGGAATGTGGAAGATCTAGAAGTTTAGAACCTGCTTTTTGTTTGCATTGTGCATGTTTATCTTCCAATGTCACTGTAATTAGATTGTTGCTTACAAGCTGAGATTGATTTGTATATTCACATCTGCATTTCCTCTACTGACTTTCACATGTACTGTATTGATATCAGCTTATCAACTGGAAGGTGTTTTGGTTCTGCTCATTGTAATAGTACTTTTTTGTTCCAAATAGAAAGGTGGGAGATTTTCTTTAAGGTCTAAAATTGTCAGCTTTATGCTAGAGAAGCTATTATCTCTTGTTCTCCTTAATGACACCTATGCAGATAACACTTCATGGCCCATGTCGTAACAGCAGCAAAGTTGCAGTATGAGTTCTGTCATCTGGTAGTGTTGTTTTGACTCCGTCCTCTGATTTTTGAAACTTGACTTGTGACAAAATCAAAAAGGATATTTATTTCATGTGTCAGACTCTACTTTCTGTACTGTAAGGTAGTTGAATAAATGCTCAGATTAAGATGGTAGTCTCTACTGTCACTCACTTATTCTGAGGACTAGGCCCTCTGATCTCTCTCTTAACACTAGGTGATCTTTGAACTGGCCAGACTAATATTTGTTGAAGGTGAAGAGCATTTTGTTACAGGATACTGGCAGAGCTGGCACACTAAGATACAATATGAAGGGCTGATGTAGATATAACCTGCTACCTTATATATATAACCTGTGTTGAGTGTTTCAGCTCTCTAGAGTTAGAAGATAAGAAACTTTAAAAAATTTTATTCATTTTGAGCTCTTTCTAGTCTCAATATTGATTTTTTTTTTTCTTTGCTGCTATCACAGCTGATTGCATAAATGCTGTTTTCTTGTTCCAATGGGAGCAGAAATAGTTTTTATAAAATCTGTTCAGGACTCAAGATCCTTTTCAGTTGTAGCTGAAAGTAGCCAGGAGGTATAAACAAAGGGCCCACAAGGAGAATGAGGGGAAGTGAAGTGTCTTTGATATTTGCAGTGCTTTGGGCCTTATTTTTCCAGATAGCCAGTTTTAAACAGCTTGAATAAGAATTTATTTTGGTCTTGCCATACTTCAGCTTAGAAATCTAAACTACTTAAAAATCTTACAAGGTTAAGAGTATGTCGGGGTAGCTGGTCCAAAAACCTTGTAGAATCCTGTTAGGTAATTTAAAGTAATGGGGCTATGTTGAATCATTGCCTAATACTTGATATCTTTATTTTCCAGTAATGACTGAACTGTTGATTAGGCCTATTATTTCTCTGCAAACAGAGAATTTATCTCATAAAGAGCAAGAAGTTAAATTTTGCTTATATGCAAGATGCATTTTTTTAGTATATTTCCAGATATTGGTAAGCTCGAAGTGGAAAAGAGAACATAAATCCTTTAAAAAGGGGAGTGTGTGTTTTGTTTTGCTGCAAGCCTGAAATAGAGAATTTGGAAATACAGTGAGAAATTGAAAAGAGCTCTGAAATTTTTGCAGATATATAAAGTTATTTAAGGGGATACTTAAAATCTTAATGGTTCAGTAAAGTTCTTATGAATAGTATTCCATAATATTTCATGTGGGATGATTTTGAAGTGTATGATTGCAATTCAAATTAACCACAGTTTAGATTTAACCATGGCCATTAGTCCTGTAGTCTGAACAACAAAATAGTAAGCAGGTGCTTTTTCTAAACTGTAGCATGCTTTTTCTAAAGTTTTTCTTTAACTGTGTACATCCTTACCGATTATTTTTGAGCGCTGTGTCTATGATCTCTTTTATTTTTAAGTTAAGAGTACTGATGCTTCATTTTCATTACTAATGCTTGTCTGCATTTTTCTCCTTACTTTGGAGATGCGAACAGGCAAAAAACCCCAAACACCAAAGCAATTCAGAAACCCAGCTTGGACTTCAGCTCTGTTACGTTACTTGTGTTATTACAAATTAAAGGAGATTTATTTTTGCCTATATATTTTCTTTTTGAATAATGACCATCTTTGCATGTATACAGTTTTATATAGTAAATTTGCCAGTAATTAAGAATAAAAAATTCATTTCCTTAGCAAATAATTACTTGGTATGTGGCCAGGACTATCCTTTTCTTAAATTTCTGATAAAATACCTGGAAACTCTTTTAACCTGGGTTATGATACAGAATTCCACACCACACCCCCTCCTCCTTCCCTCAGCTTGTCTTAAATGCACAGGATGCAGGATGTTTAGAAACTTACAGTTTAAAAAAATTTGAAAAAACTAGCAAACTATCTACTTGAGAACTAGTAAAGATGAAGGCATAGTCTCTGATTTAAGAGGTCCCTGAGTCAGCTTCCTTAAGCGCTTGCTCGTGAATCCGGGTTCTGCTCTGATAGTTTGATAGTCTATCTTGATGCCTAAAAAATAAATAAATATGCAAAATGCTTCATGCCAAGCTAGAAATCACTGGCTAGTTCATTCATCATTTGGAAGTTTGGTTATGCCAGTTTTGAACAAACAAGGGTTGTTACTTCTTTTACAATACAGGTAGATAGGCTTCATTCTCACGTCATAATTACTGTGGTGCTTGTCTGGTCTTGTGGTGACCTACCTACCTGCCTCCAGTTATTTTTGTGCTGAATTCTCAAACTGGGGATGAACTTGCCAGATTTTTCACATTTCTGGCTGAAGGGAATAGGTTTGCTGAGACTTTGTATTCTCCTTGGTCAGAGTTTTTGTTCTAGCAAAACTAGGTTTTCTTCTGTCTTTTTTCAGTGTATTTTCATCTCAATTAGTGTAGTTGAGTAATTATCTGTTTATGTAATTGAGACTCAGATGTAAGAGACTTGAGACTTGAGTAAGAGACTACTGCACAAGAATGACAAGTGTGTTTTCTTGAGGGATCACTTTCCAAAAATATAAATGTATTACAGTTTTTTTAGCTTCATGTTGACTTTTAATTAATAGCTTCTCATAGATGTTTCAGCAACATACGTCAATAAATAGGGTTTAGGCAGTTGTGCCTCTTGAGAATGAAGGATTTTCAGCTCCATTCCCCTTTTCAGTTTCTCCTTGATTATTTTACCATTGATAGTCTGAGGACAGAACTTAACATGTCTGTCTTGGGAGTCTAGAAGCTGCACGTTGAAGGTTGATAAGGTTGCTGTAGGACACACTTAAAAAAACAGTTTAAGGGGTTTTACCGCCTTGCCGTTCACTTTAATTATTTCTCAATATCAGTCTTCACCAGTTTGCTCTCCTGCATGCTCAGTGTCTTGTCTAAATATAATTTGACAATAAAATGTTGCTTATGGAATTATACCTTCAATAATTGCTTTGGTTTTGTGCACACAAGTGTAACAATGGCTAGCTGTCTGCACATTGCTTTCTACTCCAAACTTGCTTGGAAATGCAAGTTAGTAAAGTAGCTGCAGATATTTAATTCTAAGCAGTTGCCTCTAACGTTAGCTTTGTGGTGTTCTGTTTAACACTTATGGTAGGCAAAATTATGTATTAGTTTTTGTTGAAGGCAGTTACCTGATGGTTACTACTGTCAGGCATCAGAAAAGGTTGCTTGCATTGAAATTATCAGTACTTGGGAAGTCTGTTTCAATTTCATCTTTTGAAACTCTTACCTATTTTAAGTATGGACACATTAAACCAACTTACTGTATTCCATTAAGTGATAGGGATGCCTGTACTAGCTTATGGTCTGTGGTAGATTTCTTCAGGCTGCCACTAAACCTTTCTGGTAGTTTCTCTTCCAAGGTACTGGAGATTCCCCCCAAAGAAAGTGTCATGCTACGTTCCTTATGATTTGTTTTGCCTAGGCCTGGATGTCAGTTTTGTTCTTAGAGCCATGTAGCCCTATGATCAAACCAGTAGAATTTACAATTTCCTTACAAGCAAGCCCATAGCTAGTTTACCTGTAGCTCAGTGAGACTGTGGACAGAGCAAACTTGAGCTTTCTGTCAGCTCATATGATCCCACCTTTATATTTCTCCATGGTGTTTCTGAAAGTCTCTCACTTGGTCATGCTCTTCTTAAGTTCTTCTAAAATTGACATGACATTCATAATTAGTATTTAATGTAGAAAGTCTCTCTTTTTATAAGTGTTCTGCATGGTGAGTGTATTTCATAATGAGAACCAAGGGTTTAATTAAGGACACACAGAAATCTACACCATTTAATTTGCAGGACATTTACTTCAGAAAACACTTTTGAAGCTGTTAGTGCCACTGGACTTGCACAGCTAAAATTAGACAAGCTTGAAAAAATCAGTTGTTTCAAACAATGTTCTGTGGGAATGACTTGTATGTTGAGGAAATACCACTGGTAATATGTACTTTGCTTTAGTTGTTTGTGTGTCTAAACTAGTGTTTATCTTGTGTTTTTTAGCAGCACAGTGGAATGAAGTTTTCTATGAAGGGAACTCATAACCAAGGCAACAGCTACAGCCCTGTCAGCAGTGGAGGCATGAGACAACCAATTGGTAACCGAGGACACCACCAGTACAATCGTAATATATGGAGAAGAAAAAAACATAGAGAGTGTTTGCCTATTAGTCTGAGCAGATAATGGCAGATGCCAAAATGACCTTCCCTGTTCAGACAAACTGAGTGAGTGCCACTCGACTTGAGGGATGGAGACCAGCGTCCAGCACATCGTTTTATTGGTGTTGCCAAATATCTGCAACTGACTTCTTTGCATGTTTCTTTGTGTGGTGGTTCAGTCCATCTTCAAGAAGTAGTTGTGCTTATCTGTGAAGCCTTATTAAATGTGGAAGTTTGTTTTCTGCCTTCCCACAATGGTTCATACATTGCCGAAGCAGCTCTGACAGTAGAACTGCAAGGACATTTACAAATGCTGTGGCTACATCTGTTCCTTTGTGGGTTCTGTTTTCTTTTATTTTATAAGTGAAGGAAACTTCAGCCCCTTGGAATTATTTTTTATTTTTTTTTCTTTGCAGCAAATCAAGTTGGGAATTCACAGAAGTAAATTTGCTGCTCTCCTGTTTTTGTTTCAAAGTTCAGAATTTTTTGCTCTGTAAATATTGGAAGTATAATTTGTGCAATAACTTGGAATTTTTAATTTAATTTCATATTGTCACATAAGTTATATTTAAGGGGAAGAGGTTTTTTAATTTACAGATCCTTTCCCAGGTTGCATTATCTAAGTTGGGTTCATAGTTTTGGCAGGTTGTCTGAGCAGTGTTACAAATATGACATTTGGTAATATTTGAGGCTTCTCGATTCATGATGAAAGTGCGATTTGGCTTATGGTTTTAAGAAGTTACCGAGCTCCAAAGCATTTTGACCCTGTGTTTTTTAGCTCATTTTCTGGCCTCTATCAGTCGTCTTGCTCTGACCAATGAGTTTTAATTTTATTCCTTTAACTAGACAACAAATCCAGCATTTGTAGTACCAGAAGTAAAACTTTTGAGAGGAAGGGGAAAAAGGTTGGTTCAAGTCCTGATAGGAAATTAAAAAGCTGTGAACTACATGCTTTGATGCATTTTAGTAACGTAACCTGTTAATGTTTGGGTTCAAACAACATTATTAAACAGAGGTACCCGGCTTAAGGAATGTGGAGAAAGGAAATATGTTGATTCCATTCAGGAATCTGTATAGCAGTATGCATTAGTTCTGTTAAGAGCAAATATATAAAAAGTACTTCAGCTGCTCTGAGCATTACGAGAAGTATCTTTTAATGTATTGCAGGAGAGCACAGCCCAGTGTTGTACACAGTATGAGTGGCTGGCACTTAATTTACAGATGCATACAGGTATACTATGCAAGTGTGTATTGCCATGACAAACACTGTCTTTAACTTTTTGAAAAATGTACATCCTGCCTAACCCTGAGTTTTAAAAGCACCACAGTTGTCCTGGGAGTAGGTCACATCTCATGCCCTCTGACTTCCCGTGCTTTTTTTTTTAAATGAGAGTTCTTAAGCTATACAGAAAACTACAGATGAGTTCTACAAGTCCAGTAGCAGAGAAAGCTGAAGAATCCTGCTTAACAGGACATCTATATTGTGTACAGATCTAGAAGGTTTTAAAACTGATATCTGAGCATTAAAATGAGGTGTGAAGCATGATGCTTTTTAATATGCTGTATGCCTTTGAAGCAGAAGTAGTTCATGTTATTACTGAATCTGTCAAACACAAACAGGTCCTTAAGGGGAGAGAGGGCAACATTCCAAAGTAGAGTAGTGCATATCTGTTAGCAAAAAGTTTGTCTTAATGCTCCAAACTTATCACAATTAAAAAAAGTTTTCAAAATTGTGAGCTGATTCATAAATAATATCTAAGGGCTGTTACATGAGCCTATACTGCTTAGTCTTCACACACTAGCAATATTGAGCATAACTACATTAAAGAGCCTTCAAAGGCATTAGTTGGTGTCTTATACTAGTGTCCATTTTAAAGCAAAACTCATTTGAAAAGTGGTATCATGTAACACTTCAGTCATGGTGAACCAAATAAATTGGCCTGGCTATCACTGTGGTTATGTGCTACAGGTTTAAAAAAAACACGTTTAAATTTTTTGTGTGGACAACTATGTGGAAGCTAAAATTGACATATTTTTATGTAAAGTTTTCTATTCTTTGATTTTTAATAAACTTTGGAGACCAGTCACTCTTCTGTACATTTTTATGAGAAATTTAATGGATTAATTAATACTTGACCTTATCCTATTGTCTGATGTATGCTTTAAAAATCTGCTTTAAATTGTTTGTGCAGAACACTCAGAAGGAGCTTGGAGAGTGGATGGTGCAACGTCATTGGTCTTGGATCTTCGGTTTTCCTGGGCTCCACCTGTTCTGGTTTGGGCTACTAGTTAAAAGAAAGCTCACTGAAGGAAGAAAAAAAAAAAAAAAAATCAGCAAAAGGAAAAGTGACCTCATCCTGGCCTAAACCAGGACACTGCCTTTTTCCTTTTCCTGTCCAGATGGTGACTTGGCTTTATTCTTCCCACAGATTCTGCTGAGTTAATTATCTTTGTTAGTAGTCTCCTTTTAATGCATTAGGAGTCTCACTTTGTTCCTTTGAACCTGTTCTCTGATAATAATCTTGGGTATCCACCTGATCTGTTTCCCAGCCCTACTGACTATTTTGTGCACTGTTCATAGGCAAAATTAGCCATGGACATTAGATGTGGAAGGGATTACAGATTAAATGGATGAGCAGAACCTGCAGAGTACCTCACAGAAAGAGCTCAGTTACTATCTGTTGTCATTTCCAGGAGATGCCAGTGCTGGTGTTATGTTGGACTTTTTCTGTAGCTCCTTTCCCCCCATGCAGTGGGACCTGGTAAGAAAAAACAGCTGTGGCTGCTGGTACAGTGTTTCTGGGTCAGCAGTGTTGCTTTCCCTGGGAGCAGCTGTGGGAAAGCATGTTGACAATGGGGATTGCAACAGTCTGGCAAAGAGCTGTCTTGAAATATAGTAGACCTTCAAACAATAAGGCCTCTTTAGAATCTGTTGGCAAGAAGAAAAAATTTAAATACTAATGGACAACAGATAACTCAGTGTATATGTACGTGGGGATGAACGTGTCAATTTCTGAGCTCTCCAGGACAACAAGCCTGCTTGCTGGCTGATGCCAGTATAATCTGGTTATAAATTTAATAACTCCTGGAGTAAATCAAAGTTATGTTTTGAATTCCTCAGTGAAGAAACTTGACAGACATCAATTAGGTGTCTGAGCGTGTCTTGTACTTCGGCACGTAAGCTACTTTGATTTGGTCTTGGAGGTTCTATAATGTAGTGCCAAAAAAGAAGGATTTGGAAAATGGCCTTAGAAGGAAGGGAAGCCTGAAAAGAAAGATCTTGGGGATCAGGAAGACATATGGAGAAAAATACCAGGGGATTCCCTGGGAGCTTGGCTGGTACTGCCTTGGGCTGGTAACAGTGTCGTAACTGTACAGCGTGAAGGGACACTTGTTTTCTGCTTGACCTTCACACACCAGCAGCAAGCCTCTCTGCTGGGAAAGGAGTTGAGACTCTAGCAAGAGGAATGCTTTGGAGTGAATGAGTGTTTGAAATAATAATCTGAGATAAAAGTGCTAATCTTGTTCATTTGTAAGTAAACCTCAGTATTCAGACCCAGTACATGTTGTTTACTTCACCTATAACAGAAAATGGTGTTGCAATGACAATATTGACTACTTACTGAACCTCAGATTCACAGCCAGAAAACTGTTGCAGCTGAGCTTTCCCAAAATCATCTTAAGATGGCTTTAGGTTTTCTTTGCATCCAGGACATTAACTTGTATTAAATTTGGTTTGGTTCTTACATTTCCTTCCAACACACTGCATAGGTTTCTGTCCTGGAGGTGCCTTGCCTGTTTTGGATGACATAAGTCTGTTATTTGTTCTTGGCAGTAGGAGATTCCTTAAGGATATGTATGAACAGCCTGTGTCTGCAAGAGATCTTTTGGACAAAATATTTTTAACATTTTAACCAAAGTTTCTTACTAGAAGATCAGCCATATATTTCTGTTATAATTTGTTAAAGTAATGGGCCCATGCTACAGCTGGGTTTTGGTGAAAGGGTGCTTCTTGTACCTGATATGTGAACTTGCTGCCTAAAGCCTCAGTTTTATATGGGATTTTTTTGGGGTTTGTTCAACCACTTGCTTTTTTAAGAGTTAAGATTTGGAAGCTAATATTAGCCTAATTTTTATCTAAAATTTCCATAAAGAAAAAAGAAGCAAAATCTAAGAGCTTAGTGATCTTAATTTAAAACTTAATCATCCCAAATGATTGGGAATTATAACACGCCAAGCTGCAGATCTCCTAAAAAGATTTTAAAACCACCAGCAAAAACCCCTCTAGTTCTAGTGTGCTTTATGGAGAAGAGCTTCAGGATCTCTAGAATATTGATATTGCTAAGAAATGACAGAAGTCACTGTCTGAACAACTCATATCAGTATTTCATCCTTACTTCTGTGGGAAAGCACAATAGTCTTATTTGGAAATGGAGGTAGAATTTAACACTAAGCAAATGTTTCTTTAATGCCTATCCCAGTGTTGCTCCTATTTAAAAAGTTCAGTAAAGTGTATTATACAGTTCAGTGCCACATGGTGAACAACCCAGGGTGTTACCTTCTACTACACCTGAATGACGTCAATAGATGGCGCTGAGTGCAAATTTTTGGGCGAGGGTGGTACGGTTCGTTGAAGATTAATTTTGGAAACAGATTATTTTGGGTGTGTTTGTTAATGATAGTGACACAAGAACTGCCATGCACTATCTGGGTTTTCTGGTGTGACAAATTTGGGAAGTGTGAGCAACATGCAGTGTTTGAGTTTTGTAGTACCAAGTGTTAAACATTGGATGTAATATAAAGCACAAGGCTGGAAATTAAAAACTTATAGCTACTTCTGAACAGTGGAGGTTCATAGGTGAGAAATGATAGAGGAGAGAGACCTGAGAATATTTGTTGACACTATGACTGAGTTCACCAACCTGTCTCATAAATATGATATGTGAACCTAAGTTATATCAGATGAAATATTTTGAGTAGTCCAGAGTTTTACTGGTTAAATTACCTGTATCTTTACTCATTTCAGGGAAAAAAAAATCAGAAAAAGGAAAATAAGCATAATCCTCTTTTTTTCTTTATTCAGTTATGGCAGGAAACACAAACATAGGTATAAAGAATCTTCCGACACCTGAGGATCTACTTTGTCTGGAAATAAATCAAAGCTCATGGTAGCTTTTATGATGTCATGTCAAAATGATGTGAAATACCAGGGGTGGCAGATTCCATCACCCAGCTTTTTGCAGCAGTTTACACCTTTCATGTCTTGACAAACTTTTGATCTCTGGCTCTGATGTAGGAGTGATTTGCCTCCTGGAGATGCTGAACATAGTATCTGACTGTCATTTCAGATCTATGGATGACAAGTAGAAGATCTGACTGGGTGTAATTGGTCCAGGGAATGTGAGGTGACTCAGGTAGCCACTCCTACTTTCTGCATTTTGGTGGAGAAATGTATGTGGTTTTATGCTGGGTTGCCTGTCAGATACTTTTGTGCTATTCAGAAGAAAAAGGCATGGCACATCTCAGATGCCTCCAATAATCCTGAGGACTTTAGTTGGTAAAATGGGATGGGAATTTCATCACAGCTTTTGACCTAGCTTAGCATCCAAGACTTAGTTCAGCCCCTTATTGCTCTTGCTTCCTGTTACTGTTCATTGATCTATTGATACAGATAGATCCAAACTCAAAATTGTGAGAGAAGGCGGCTAGGGAGGCATCTGAGATAGTGAGGAATGAAATCCTGTTGACTGAAAGCTCTTCAAACTCCCATTGTATGGCTTCTGCCTGTCTCTGAGGGCTTGAAAAAAGCCAGTTCTTCATCAATGAGAAGGGTCCTCCCATGGGGAAGGAGAGATCTACCACAGGACTGTTGTGTATAAACAATAAATTTCATAGTTCCTTCCCCAGGTCCTTCTCCCATTTACCTTCAGGTCTTAGCAACCTGAAACAATGTTGTTCTCGATTATTTTACTGTTTTGTTTAACTTGGCCAAGGCTGTTGCTAAGGGGAGAAATATCTCCATTAAGCTGATTTTACCTGTTATTTGCTCTACAATGTTCTAACACCAGTGTTCTCAGATTTATGTAGGATTTTTTTTTCCTCTCCACACTCCCTGAAGCTCTAAATTTGATACTTAGAAAAATCTGTCAGTTTGTCCTTAGATTATTGCATGGTCTTACAGCTTTATGCTTTTGATGGTTGTTACCCATCTCCTGGGAAGAATCAAGGATCAGGAATCAGATCTGACCTTACTGAATCTTTTTCCGTGCTACTTCCCTATTTTCAGTCCTTAGAAGTGTCTGATTGTCCTGGTTTGAGCTTTCTTTAAAGCAAATTTTGGGTGAGGAAATCAATTTATTGGTCTAGAGCCTTCCAGGGCCAGAGGAATTTTTTTAAGTTTTATTGACATCTAGGAGATGCTTAGTCCCGATACTGTACCTACAGCAGACAGGATGTTTGGACCAATCCTGACTATGCAGTTGACATTTAAGCTAATGGGGCTCATAAGTTCATGTTAAGAGTCTGCTTTACATGATCATGTAGTAGTCACAAGATACACCTCAGTGGTCAGAGCATGTTCCACCACAACATAAGGCACACAGAGAGCTTGCTCAGAAACGTCTCCATCTCTGGTGTGTTTGGAACAGCTAGATGGGATGTTTGTGTGCACCTTATTCAAGCATTATGGAACTGTTGAGACATCCAAGTGTACAGTGGCACTTTGCAGAGCAATGCTAAGGTTGTTCGCTTGGAAGACTCGGGAATGCCTGGATAGACCCTAAGATGTAGGATGCTGCCCAGATTATCCAAGGATGTGAACAGTCATGTTAACCAAATACGAGAGGAAGAAGAGGCTTCTCAAAATGATCTATTAACCTCACAACTATCTTATATTTTTCCCTTTAACCCTTTATCTTTTATAGGATCTTAAATCCTGTGCTTTCTGTATCTTATAAATCCCCAAGAGGGAAGAGGACTGTGGGGAAGGAGGAGGTGGGGAGGCATCTGAGCTTGTGAGGACTGCAGTCCTCTAGGCATAAATACGATGTAAATTACCAAGGCAAAATATGCTATTCATTATGCA